TTCCTGGGTTCTCTCCCTGAAGATTTGTTTTCATCTCTCTCTAGTCTCCAAGTCATTGACTTGAGCTTCAATCGTCTCATTGGCCGTCTACCACCTTCAAATAAAATCAGTCAGCTTCAGGTTCTGAACTTGTCTAGCAATTTCTTCAATGGAACAATCCCATCTTCGATCCTTGTCCCATCGGTGTCCATTTTCAACGTCAGCAACAACAGCTTTTCCGGGTCGATACCCATCGACAATGGTAGCAACCACACATCCCTTACCTTCTTGGACTTGTCCTACAATAAACTCATTGACACAATTCCCCCTGGAATCGGATTATGTTCCAAGCTCCAAGTTTTCCGTGCAGGCTTCAATAGCCTCTCTGGTTCTCTCCCTGATGAAATTTTCAACCTTGCTGATCTCCGACAGCTCTCTCTGCCTGTCAATAGTCTTACAGGACCCATCAACGATGGTATCATGAACCTCACCAATCTCCAGATCCTGGAGATCTTTTCAAACCAGTTATCTGGGCCAATCCCAAGCCAAATTGGTAGTCTTTCCAGGTTGGAAAATCTGCTGCTCCACGTCAACAACCTCACAGGCCCCTTACCTCTATCTCTCGCCAACAGTACAAAGCTGTCTGCTTTGAATTTGAGGGTCAACAACTTGACTGGAGACCTCTCTTCCTTCAACTTCTCCCCTCTCCAAAGCCTCACCACTCTGGACCTTGGCAACAACTACTTCACTGGTGAGTTCCCCAAAAGCCTCTACTCTTGCAAGTCACTAACAGCTATTAGATTGACCGAGAATCAGCTCACAGGACAGATATCACCTGAAATAGTTGCATTAGAATCCTTGGCTTTCCTCTCCATCTCTACCAACAACATGACAAATGCCACTGGGGCTCTTAGGATTCTAAAGGGTTGCAAGAACCTGACCTCTCTGATCTTGTCCAATAATTTTCCGTTTGAGCCTGTGCCAGATGATAAAAGCCTAGGAGACCTAGATGGATTCCAAAGCCTTCGGGTTTTTGCCCTGGGGGGTTGCCAATTCACAGGTCAAGTACCCACCTGGCTAGCCAAGCTTAAAAACCTTCAAGCCTTGGACCTGTCATTTAATCTTATAACCGGTTCTGTTCCCGGTTGGTTGGCTAGTCTGCCCAACCTTTTCTACATTGATTTGTCCAATAACCTCCTTCAAGGTGGATTTCCTAATGACCTCTGTGGGATGCCAGTTTTGACATCGAAAGAGGCCAGTGATAATGTGGACAGAAGTTATTTAGAGTTGCCAATATTTGTGAAGCCCAATAATGCTACTGATCAGCAGTACAACCAACTGTCCAACCTCCCCCCAGCCATATATTTGAGTAACAACAGCCTTAATGGCAGTATCCCCATTGAGATTGGCCGATTGAAGTTTATTCATGTGTTGGACCTTAGTCATAACAAATTCTCTGGCAGCATCCCAGATCAGATTTCTAACCTCACTAACTTAGAGAAATTGGATCTTTCCTATAACAATCTATCTGGTGAAATCCCTGTTTCTCTCAAAGTTCTGCATTTCTTGTCTTCCTTCAGTGTGGCATACAATGATCTTCAGGGACTTGTACCATCTGGAGGTCAGTTTGATACTTTTACCATCTCCAGCTTTGAAGGAAATCCAGGCTTATGTGGCCCTCTAACTCCCAAGCGCTCTTGCCATCAAAGCCCTCAAAGCCCTCCACAAGTACTTGAAGTTACTCGGAGATCTAAGACGCAGACGATTCTTATTGCACTCGTCTTTGGGATCTTCTTTGGCATTGGCTTTGGTATTGGTTTTAGCATGGATGATAAAAAAATTCCAATAATTGGCTGGCGTAGGAAGTAACTAATTAAGTTTATGTGTATAAACCTGCCGATATGTAAGTTTTGATGTGCCAACATTTTGATCCATGTATGGGAGTTCATCACATATCAATAAATGGCTTTGCATTTGTCTTTGTCAAAACAAAGGGATAGATTAGATTCTGAACCGTGTGGAGATGAACAAATGTTTTAGAGATAAATATCTAGTCAAATTACTCTCCACATGTGAATTTCACAGAAAATTGAGAAGTGTTTTAGATTAAACCAACCTCATATAACATCCACTTGCCAAAACAAAAATGTATTCTGCTAATAAAATCCACAATATTTAAGCATTGTGGGAAGAATGTAACAATAGAGAATTGGAAAGGAACCAATAGAGAATTAACATGAATAATCTAATGGTCCATGTCAACTCTCTCTAGGTCAAAGGTGTTTATTATTTCAATTTTGTCACATCTAGGTTTACAAACTTCTAGGTGTTCTGCACATGCGGTGAATCACATTTATAAAAAATGAGCAGAAAAGCCCATCACTACGGGCCTGGCCTAATAGGTTAAAACGTTTGTGACATCTAAAAAGCAAATAATTTGCTCGGAATATAGGAAGAGATTTTCTATTTAAACCCCGCACTTCTCTTTGTTCACCCCAATACTTAAATCATTAAGCTGTAAGTTTTATTATTGTGTAAAAAGACAAAAAAGGTCATCGAACTTAATAATTAACCCTAGTACACACACCCCACACACTCCACCACTCTTCATATTAAGTTTTAGAAACATCCTTCCAACTTCCTGTTTACAAACTCTCTCTCTCTCTCTCTCTCTCTCTCTCTCTCTCTCAAGTTCTCAACTCAACAATACCCAAGTGTTAGAATTCCAGTTACAATCCTTGAAGAGAGGTAAAGCTGTTCTCTTCCTCTAGATATTAAATTTCGGATTTAGGGTTTCATTTGTTTGTGTTTTTTTTTGTTGGGAACAAAGAAAATTGTGGGGTTTAAATAGAAAATCTCTTTTAATTCTTATTTTTTCAGTTTGGGGTGTATTTAAGGGTAGTTTGGGAAGATAGTGGGGTTTTCTTGGAAATTTTGAAAATTTAAATTAAAAGTTGGGGTGAACTTAGAACATGAGGTGAACTAAGAGAAGTGTGGGGTTTAAATAGAAAATCTCTATAGGAATCATAGTTGCAAAGAATACGGGAAATATATATAAGTGAAAGACTAGAAACATAAGAATTATAGATGTACGCAATTAAGGACTCTTTAAGAAACCTACACTATAAAAAAAGGTTGAAAAAGCAGACCCCAACAGATATTGGCTAGAGGGTGAAGAGCACAGAGAGATTCTTTCTCACGGCATTTTCAGGTTTTCTCTATTCTTCTCTTCCATGTCGTTTATTGCTTTTGGTTTTTTCTCTAATCATCAAAGTTGAAGCTATGTGTTTCTAATATTTTCCAACTTTAGTTGAGGAGAGAGGAAAACCCCCCACCGATTTATTATCTATGAAATTCCCATGGTTTTGTTTTGTTCTCTTTTTTGGTTATGATTTATTACTTCACATGAATGAATAATAAAATTTATTGTTTTATAGATCAATCCTATCGATCATGGCTGAACCTCTCAAAGAGATCGAATGCTTTCTCGACCTGGTGCCTGTCCAACTCACCAGAACCAACTATTTTCTCTGGAAACCTTTGTTCATCCGCACTCTAAAGGCCTACGACTTGGACTTGTTCAACATCATGGAAGGAGTCGAGCAGTGTCCACCACAATTCGCGACGAATGAAGAAAGGGATGAAAATCCCGCCTATACCGACTGGATTATGAAGGACCAAACATGCATGGCCGTGATCACTACAAGTCTATCAAATTCCGTACTCCCCTACACCCTAGGTTGCACAAGCTCCAGAGCTCTGTGGCTAAACTTGGAGATTCGATTCACTACCGCTGCTAAATCTCATTGCTTGCGGCTCAAGGCTCGCATGCAAAGCCTCAAGAAAGGATGGATGCAGTCAATGGAGAAATACCTAAATTTGGCTGAAGAAATTGCCAATGAGCTAGCCGCCGGCGGATATCCCCTTGAAGATTGTGATTATGTTGGTCACGTCCTTAGGGGACTTCCATCTCATTATGATGACTTTGTTGCGTGGATGAGGGCTGGAGGGAATATTACTGTGACTCGAGAAGAATTGCATGGTTTGCTTCTTCAAGAGTCCCGTAGGAGAATTCAGCCTGATTTTATAGTACAACCCCTGCTCATTGTCTGCATTACTGTGATCATTGCTCTTATTCGTCGTTAGTTAGGGTTTATCTGTTTCATTAGGGTTTTTTCTGTGGAGAGTATTTTCGTTATCATGATTCATTTTTAATTCGTGTTAAACTATTATCATCTATATATTTAATATGGGATTTCATGCTACTGTTATTAATTAATATAGCCTGTCATGTCTGTCAACATACAATTTTTGTCCTTATTTACAGAGAATTTTTGTTGATTATTTTTATGCGTTTTTAAACTCGCCTAATGTTTTGTCTTCTCATTTTATCTCGATTTCTGATTACATTTTAATAGAGTATTGTTCTATGTATTACCAGTGTTTTGAAACATTATTTGAACCCTTTGAAAAATAAAGGGATGGAAAGATTCTGATCACTTTGTGGAAAAGAATTAAAGCTTTAGAGGTAAAATCGTGAGGAACTTGAATTTGAATTTGTGTTTCTACTATGCAGTTAACTTGTAGTCTATATGAAATAAAAATAATTCTGAACACTAAAAAAATTTCTGCTGAAGTAAAGTCCTTTTCAGGTATACAAGACCAGGTTTAATCTCTCATATGTTAGGTAAGATAGGAAAGGCACCAATAGATAATTCATGAAGAACCTAATTGTCCTCATAGGCTATTGGATTATGTTATTGTGACTAGTTTGCAAGTCAAGCAGCCACTACTAACTAAAGCAGCATGCATCAACTGTCCCCTTGCCTTCAAAGTAAACGCTTGTTTGATGCGCCAATGTGGACTTGTAGATATTGGTCTCAAGTGCATCAACTGTCCCCTTGCCTTCAAGTAAATGCTTATTTGATGCACGAATGTGGACTAGCTAAGTGGAAAAGGTCCTTGACTTCTGCTGCTGCTTCTGCCTTGCTTTGCCTCTGCTGCCTGTCACCAAGTGGATCATGAAGCTCTGTTGTCCTTCCTTGGCTTTCAAGGTATCATCGCGGCAGCCATTGAATTGGTCTGCTTCTGTTGACTGTTGCTCATGGGAAGGCATAAGTTGCGGCCAAGATGATGGTCATCAACGCGTCGTTGGTCTATGGCTTCCTGGAAGAGGCTTAACTGGTCTTCTCCCAAGTGACTTGCTTTCCTCCCTCTCTAATCTCCAGGTCCTTGACTTGAGCTCTAACAACTTCTCTGGCAACATCCCTGATCAGATTTCTAACCTCCCCAACTTAGAGAAATTAAATCTCTGTCACAACCATCTATCTGGTCGAGTCCCTGGTTCTTTCCAGAGTTTGCTTTTGCTCTCTTCTTTCAGTGTGGCATACAATGATCTTCAGGGCCTTGTACGTACCATCCGGAGGTCAGTTTCGTAATTTTATCTTCTCCAGCTTTGAAGGGAATCCAAGATTACGTGGCCCTCCAACTACGCATCTCTCTCGTCCTCATCTAGAATTACCAGCTCCTGAAAGATCTTAAGATACACTTTTTTAAGTAGTGAGAACCTCTTGTCTGATTTTCTTATGGGGTTTGTGGCATTAATAATACAACACATTGTGAAGCGGTGCATATTTAGAGCAAAATTTAGTGGGGATTCAGAATAGGAACTCTGGGTTTTCATGTACGAACATTCCGAAAACAAAATGTATTGTACCATAAAACAAACAAAACTACATAAATACATACTCAACTTATCTTATAAGATGAAAAGTAGGCAATTTTCTTCAATTTTATTGATAGCATTGACTTCATCATGCAATGACAAGTTGTTTTTCTTTTCCTTCAACGGTAACAATGAGAAACAACCTGTCATCGCAAGATGAATGTGATCAACGGTTTATGATGATTGTAAGTATTTCATATGATCAGATAGTCAATACGACTCATTATTTATGTGACAGTCATGATTTATGTGATTTATTTTCTAAGAAATGTGATAGGAAATGACTCCTGTGTGTTAGTCATGGTTTCTGTGACAGATTATTTTATCTGTTACTCTATATGTGATAAATTTTTATTTTGTGACAGATTTTTGCTTATGTAAACGCATTAATATTATGATTTATCTGTTCATGCAACGTCACTTGGACATTTTCTCCAGGTATGCTTACTGCAATGCACAAGTAATTCCAGGTACATGAAAGCTCAGACCAGACATACAGAGTCAAATCTATGCATCGATCATATGATTGGTATTAATGATCACAAAGTCAAAGTCTAAGAACAGAGGCTTTAGTGGTATATCACCTCCAGCTATGAAAGGAAATTCAGGATCCAATTATGCAGCCATCTTGTCCTAAACAAGAATTCGCTGCTCGTCAAGGATCTAATATTCTCACTGAACTCGTCATCAGCATTATTTATTTCTGCAGACAAGAAGTTCCATTGCAATTTAGTGTGCATTCAAAAGAAAATCATACCAAGTGAAAGATAATGTGATAGCAAAAAAGCCACTTGAACCTTCTCTATTTCATGTTAATAAAGTTTGACTGTCAAATTATGCAGCAATATTATATCATTTCTCTTAATAACCACCTTCCTTTGATCAAGTGGTGCGATTTGTGGTGTCACTTGATCATGATATATGTCTAAAATAACTATGAATATATTACACACTACCTTTTATATATTTATGGTTACTGGCCAGTCAACATAGTTAAGTCGTAAACAACAGATAAACACAGTGGAAAGTTGCTGGATGCCCTAACCAACCTAGTTTCTAAGAGTTTAGTGGGATTCAGACGTCAGATAAATAGAAGGAATTAGAACAAGTCTAAGATCTCAAAGTAAGCGCTTATGTGATACATATAGATTGGTACTTACCAATGATTCCATCAGGGGCTGATGAATGACATGAAAGAAAACAAAGAGAACACCATGGACGAGGAGCTCCCAGGAACACCAAGCCAAAGACCAAGAACACAGTTTCTTCTCTTTTGGGGGCAATTATTTCTTCTGATTCTGCTACCCTGCTTTGGATCCTCTGCCTGTAACAGAGTGGACAGTGAATCTCTCTTGTCATTGGATTTTAAAGTATCGTCGCCATTGAATTGGTCTGCTTCCTCTGACTGTTGCTCAAGGGAAGGAATAAGTTGCCACCAAGATTATGATCATCATGATCAACGTGTCATCCATCTATGGCTTCCTGGGAGAGGCTTAACTGGTGTTATCTCTCCATCTATCACAAACCGCACCCATCTCACCACCTCAAACATTCCCACAATTCCCTCTCAGGCCCTCTCCCAAAGGACTTTTTTGCCTCCCTCTCTAGTACTCTCCAGGTCCTTGACTTGAGCTTCAATTGTCTTATCGGCCACTTACCACTCTATTCCAACTAAATCAGCCAGCTTCAAATTATAAACTTGTCCACCAATTTCTTCAATGGAACAATCCCATCTTCAATCCTTGTCCTCTCAGTGTCCATTTTCAACGTCAGCAACAACATATTTTCCAGGTCGTTACCCATCAACAGTGGTGGCAATCACACTTCCCTTGCCTTCTTGGACTTGTCCTTCAATAAATTCACTGACCCAATTCCCCCCGGAATTGGATTATGTTCCAAGCTCCAAGTTTTCCGTGCAGGCTTCAATTGGCCTTCCCGGTTCTCTCCCTGATGAAATTTTCAACCTAGCTGATCTCCAACAGCTCTTTCTGCCTGTCAATAGTCTTACAGGACCCATCAGTGATGGTATCATGAACCTCACCAATCTCCAGATCCTAGAGCTCTTTTCAAACCAGTTCTCTGGGCCAATCCCGAGCCATATTGGTAACCTTTCCAAGTTGGAAAATCTGCTCCGCCACATCAACAACCTCACAGGTCCCTTACCTCTGTCTCTCGCAAACAGTACAAATCTGTCCACCTTGAATTTGAGGGTCAACAACTTGACTGGAGACCTCTCCGCCTTCAACTTCTCACCTCTTCAGCGCCTCATCACTCTGGACCTTGGCAACAACAACTTCACTGGTGAGTTACCCAAAAGCCTCTGTTCTTGCCAGTCATTAACAGCTATTAGATTGGCCAGTAATCAGCTCACAGGACAGATATCACCTGAAATAGTTGCATTAGAATCCTTGGCTTTCCTCTCCATCTCTACTAACAACCTGACAAATGCTACTGGGGCTTTTACGATTCTAAAGGGTTGCAAGAACCTGACCACTCTGGTCTTGTCCAAGAATTTTCTGTTTGAGCCTGTGCTAGATGATGATAGCCTAGGAGACCCAGATGGATTCCAAAGTCTTCAGGTTTTTGCTCTGGGAGGTTGCCAATTCACAGGTCAAGTACCCACCTGGCTAGCTAATGTTAGAACTCTTGAACTCTTGGACCTGTCATTCAATCTTATAACCGGTTCTGTTCCCGGTTGGTTGGCTAGTCTGCCCAACCTTTTCTACATAGATTTGTCCAATAACCTCCTTCAAGGAGGATTTCCTAGTGAGCTCTGTGGGATGCCGGCCTTGACATGGAAAGAGGCCGGCAATCAAGCGAGTCAGAGTTCTCTAGAGTTGCCAGTCTTTGTGAAGCCCAACAATGCTTGTGATCAGCAGTACAATCGACTCTCCAACCTCCCCCCAGCCCCAGCCATATATCCGAGTAACAACAGCCTTAATCGCAGTATCCCCATTGAGATTGGCCGATTGAAGTTTATTCATGTGTTGGACCTTGGTCATAACAAATTCTCTGGCAGCATCTCAGATCAGGTTTCTAACCTCACTAACTTAGAGAAATTGGATCTTTCCTATAACAATCTATCTGGTGAAATCCCTGCATCTCTCAAAGGTCTGCATTTCTTGTCTTCCTTCAGTGTGGCATACAATGATCTTCGGGGACTTGTACCATCTGGAGGTCAGTTTGATACTTTTACCATCTCCAGCTTTGAAGGGAATCCGGGCCTATCTGGTCCTCCAACTGTACATCGCACGTGCCCTCAATCATTATCACCAGCGGTTGGTCCAAGATCCAACACTCACAGAAAGCTTCTTACTGGACTCATTGTTGCCGTTGGTTACTGCATTGGCTTTGGCTTTGGCTTTGGTTATAAACAAAACTTCATTGTAATTAAACTGGAATTTCATTGATCAACAAGTGTTTGAATTTTAATATCTTTCATTGTTTCTAAGGTTCAAAATATATTGAAGTAACAGACGACAACAGTTAAACTCAACTCCATTGGAGAGAAAAATAAAAGCAAAGCAAGAGAAGCAAACTAACCTGGAAGAGAGGGAACAGCCAGAAAGAAGACAACAAGAGCAACAAGCCAATACGAACAAGAAGCCCAATCCAATAAAACCCGGGCCATATCTCAACCCATTTGCTACACCTAATCTAGATTCTAGTGAGAGAAAAAGACCATTTGACCCTTGTCAGTCCCTACAGAGTCCGCCTTATCTCTCCATAAACCCTAAAAAAGGTATAAGAAAAACCCATTAAAGATCTTCCCTCGACTTCTCCAAAATTCACCAGAAAGAGAGAAACCCGTAAAAGGCTTTCATATTTCTTTTTGTTATTTCACTTTAATCTCTTGGAAACCCCAATGGAACAGCCAACCTTCAACTCTCTCCCTCAAAACACTAACACCACAACATCATCTTCCACAGCAAAATCCCAAAAGAAAAAGCTACCAACCCCACAAGAACTCATCTCCCACTATGAGTCACAAGGCCTTGACAACCAAGAGGCCTCTCTCAAGGTCATAGGTGACCTCCAGGCTGCCCTCTTTAGGGTCATAACCTCTGGCAGAGGCAGAAAGGACAAGCTCTTGGCTGAGACCTCAAGAAAGATTGACAGCACCAACAACAGCCTTGCCATTCTCAATATGAAGATTGACTCCAAGCCTGGCTATGGTGAAGCTTTTGGTATTGGGGTTGCTTCTGGGGTGACTTTGAAAGGCATTGAGACTGTTCTGCCTCATGTTCTTAGGGGTTTTGGACAGATTTGGAACACTGTCAGGAATG